GAATCTCTACGTGTGGGAAGCCATAAGATCGAGTCTCAAAAGTAAGGTTTCTTCGGATTTAATCGGCTATAAATAATTCAAAGTTTGAGCTTCAAACTAAACTTAAAACAAACTTTCTGGCAGTCCAAGCTGATGCGCAGTGAATTTTAAGTGATACGGAGTGAAATTTAAGGGATTTCTTAGAAGTGTACCTTGATGCGCAGTGAAATTTAAGTGATCCGGAGTCTAATAAAACTAACTTTCTGACAGTCCAAGTTGATGCGCAGTAAAATTCAAGTGTTACGGAGTCCAAGAAAACTAACTTTTGCATACTTCGAGTTGATGCGCAGCGAAATTCAAGTGATACGTAGTCTAATAAAATCAACTTTCTGGCAGTCCAAGCGGATGCGCAGTGAAATTTAGGTGATACGGAGTCTGAGAAAAACTATTTTTTAACAGTCCGAGTTGATGCGCAGTGAAATTTAAGTGATACGGAGTTCAGAAAAGCTCTTTTTAACAGTCCGAGTTGATGCGCAGTGAAATTTAAGTGATACGGAGTTCAGAAAAGCTCTTTTCAACAGTCCTAGTTGATGCGCAGTGAAATTCAAGTGATATGGAGTTTAAGAAAACAAACTTTTAGACAGTCCAATTTCGTGCGCAGTAAAATTCAAGGATACGGAATCTAAGAAAATTCACTTTTGGACAGTCCTAGTTGATGCGCAGTGAAATTTTAGTGATACGAAGCCAAATGAAACCATTTTCTTTTCAAATTTTCTCAACATTCATCAAAAATTTGGTTAGAAAAATAATTCTTTCAGCCTAATTCCAAGCTTTTCGACCAAAAAAAGGCGACTTTCATTGTATTTTGAACTTCGGAGCCCGAAAAACAAGAATAATGACCCCTAGTTTGTCATTTCCGTAATGTCAGCTGTGCATTGCGGGGTCACTGACATTTTTCTGGCACCAATTAAAATTTTTTTCTTACTAGACATAATTAAGCCTCAATTACTATAAATGGCCATCAAAACGTTCGTTGAATCGCGAAAACGTCTAGTGAAATATTCAGTTTCATTTTTTTAACTTCCGCTTAAAAATTAATTTTTTTTCGATTCACTCGGATCAACTCAGATTTTCATATCACTTTGCTTCTTCCTCAAAATTTCGAAGAAAAACCACGAAAAAATTAGAAATTCTAGAATCATAAGGATTCTAATTCTAGACTATGATTCTAATTCTAGACTATGGCTTCTCAGAGATTTGAAAAATTTTTTTATCATGTTCTGGAGATTTCCCGAAAATATTCTGTGGCTCAAAAAAGGAGCAAAAAATAATTTATCCACTCAAAATCTCATAAATTCCCTAAAACACTTAATTTCTTACAATTTTACTACGCAATCTCGTCTGGAAGTTAGGAAAAACAGCTGAAAAAAGATATTCCACCTGGAACTGATTAATTGGTGTTTTTCAAAGTTTCTGAACTTTTTGGAGGAATACGACATTTTCAAAGAGCCTTTTTAATATTACAACTTCTGCAAATATTGAAAACAAAGAAAGTAGATCTTAACTAACTAAGAATTTTATTTTAAGTAGGAAAAAAGGCATCCATGATCAAAATAAAGCGAAATTCTCGTTCCTATTTTCATTTGAACTTTTAGAAAATAGTTGTGAAGAAGCCTAAAAAACTACTTCACACTAGCAAATCTCAAAAAAATTCTTGAGCCTTCACGAATCATCCTAAAGTAAGCAACTGTTTCAAAACTTTCTCTGTTCAAAAAAAAACCTTGGAAAAGCTTTGAAAACTCTTAATTGTCACAAAAACGCCGTACAATCCTAAAAACCTTTATGAATGGACTAAAACCAAAAACGCTGAAAAAGTTTTCTTCTTACAAGTTCTTCACTAAATTTCCTTTAAACTTTGAAAAAATGACACTAGAAAAACCTCAAAACCTCTGGTTTCTCACGAAAACGCCTAAAAATCCTTTACCAATCCATGAATGGACTAAAGCCAAATTCGACGGAACCGCCCGTTCCTTACACTTATACCACTTAACTTCATCCAAACTTTCGAAAATACTACTGAAGAATCTCCAAAAACCCCTATCTCTTCATAAAAATAAAACAAAATCATGTACCAGCTTATGAATGGACTAAAACCGCAATCACTGAAAAAGCACGTCCTTTTCTTTCTCACTCCATGATTTTCTCTATTTTCAAGGAATCACTATTGAAAAGACCTCAAAACCTTCTATTCCCCGCAAAAAAAGCTAAACAGTTCTAAACCAAGCCCTGAATGGACTAAAGCCGAAATCCCTGGAACAGTCCGTTCCCTAGACGTTTACAACTAAATTTCATCCGATCTTTGGGAAACTTTTACTGGAAAAACCTCCTAACACCCTCAAAGACGCCAATATTCTCTTTACAAAGTAATGAATGGACTAAGGCCGAATTCCCTAGAACAGCCCGTTCCTTACACTTTTACAACTAAATTCCATCCAAACTTTCGGAAAATACAACCGAGGAAAGTTCAAAAATTGCACCTGAAGGTGGTGAATAATCGGTGTTTTCCAGCGAACCCAACATTCGCAGACACCAGAGTTCAGCGAAGACTTGGGCTTCGAAAAAGTGCGAAAATTGGAGAATACGCTCAAGTTTCACAGGCGTGCGAAGTTCACGCGTAAGATTATACTCCAGTTCAAAAAAGGTCATGTTGATCTTTAAAAAAAGGGGTGAAAAATGTTTGTTTTCTCTCGTTTTTTTCTGTTTTGGGGTAGTTTCAAAGTGTAAACTTCTGTCTAGCCTTGCTGGAAAATTCTTTGCCCTTTTCTAATAGGTGAAGAAAATCATAACTTCCTTTTCGAGTCATCGCGAATTTCCTGCCGTTTGACCTGCGTCAAAAATTATCGCCAAGATTTCCTGCTGTTAATTTTGTTTACACTTTTTTTGTATTTGCGTGGAAAAAAGTTAGTCAGCTGTGAAAAAGGCAGAGTATTGCTCATGGTAGCTAAAAGTTGCTTTATTCTTTTCTTCAGACTGATTTTAGAAGAAGAAACAAGATTCTTACTGCAAATCTCATGAAAAAGGGTCCCATTGGAACAGAAAAATCAGATAAAAACGGTAAATATTACTGTAGGTGGTTCAAATCGTTTCAGGACCCTTTTCCCCAGAAAGTCTGTAGCAAGACAGCGGTGAAATAAGAATATTCAACTTTAAACAAAGAAAAAAAAACCGTATTGCTCAGATCAGCTCATTTTTGCTTATCCTATGTATTCTAGAAAGTCAGCACTGTTCAAAGTTCGACTGTACGCTTCTTAATTTTCTTAATTTTTTTTGTTCATAAATCCAGGTTACTGTAGCCGGATCGTGTCAAGACCCTTTTTTTTAAAATATGACCTACTCTTTTAAATTTCGCCTCAAGGACCGGTCCAAGTTCTTAGGGACGCCAGAGGGGACAAAATAGTGCTCCCTAGAGGAGTAAATTTTAGGAGGTCACTATAGGGGTTTTGGGTATGATCTCAAGGTTCTAAAACTTAAGTAGTCCCTAGATTTTAGCCTTCATAAGCCCCCTAGGTTTTCCCTGTAGGGACCACTCCGGCAACTCTTAGTTATACGAATTTTGAGAGAACACATCAAATTCACCCCTTCACGAAAAACTGTCCAATTCATATCCCTTGCCTACAAATCTACCCCCTGAAACAGCAAAAAACTCGAAAAAAAGTCTCTATTACGTCTTCCCCAGGCTCCGCCCCCTTTTTCTCGCGAGCCGACGTCGGCGCGAGTATCCGGCTTCATCCCACCTACTTTTCAGGTGTATAAAAGTTGGAGGAAACCCCTCAGTATTTACATTTTCTAATTTTTCAACATTCATATGTTCCTTCTATTTATGTTATCGTTCCTCTAAAAAATTCAGGAAACTTAAAATTTTATAGTTCATCCTAGAACTTCTAGCTTCGAATTTCAGCAGATCTTTGTTGGTTTTGAGATGGTTGGAAGATTAATTTAAGCTTTTAAACAACTTCTTAAGATGCCGAAAAGCGCAAGTCGGTTTAGGTCCGTCGCAAGGGAATTTAAAACCTTCTTAGGATGCCGAAACGCGCAAGTCGGTTCGTGTCCGTCGCAAGGGAAGTAAAAACCTTTTAGACTTCTCATTGTTCGCATTAATGTCACTTTTCAAAAAAATAATACTATTTTTTTAGACTTTTTTTGCATTTCCAAGCCTTTGTCTTAGTTCAACCTAACTGTCCAAATGGCTCAACTTTTTTTCCATCCAAAAAGAAATGTATCAAAATTACTATGAAAATACTCAACCTTTCAGAATCTTCATGTTCAAAAAAATACAAAGGAAAAAGTTTACTGAACCTTTTAATGACCTTAAAAAAATGTTATAGCAGTTTTTAAATGTGCTTTTTTTCACCTTTCCTAAAAATACAAGCACCTTTTTGATCAGCATTTCCATCTAAAAAAAATTTTCTTCCTCTTTTCTACCCATTTTTTTAGTTTTTTCTATTGAAAGGCCATGTAAAGGCCCTATCTTTAAAAAAGTCCATTTTCTGTCCAAAAAACTTCAAAATTTCCTATTTCTTTTTCTCCGAGCTTTTCCCATGTTATATAAGAGCCGAAAATTCCCGGTTATTCAGTTATTTTTTTCACGATTCCACAGTTTTCAACCATATATTTTCAATCATCAGTATTTAATTAGAATATACAAAAAAGGCACTCATTCCCAAATTTCCCCAGCGAAATCTACAGTATCCCCTCGACCGTTATCCTCCACAAAATAGCTACCGTAACCTCAATTCTACAGTATTCCCTTGTATCGTCCTTCTCTATCTCACCAAATCTTTCACACTCAATTTCACGAAACTTTTCTTGTTTCGCTTTCCTAAAAAAATCCTACAGTACTCTCCGAATTCCAGAAGCCTACAGCTACAGTAACCGAACAGGGTTCAAATTTCTCGCAAAACGCATCGCTCCGCCCACATCCTATCGACTTAAACAGAAAATAACACTTAAATTCACAAAAGATGATCGCCCGGCTGCTGATTCTGCTCTCAATTTTGGCTCTGGTGGGTACTGAATGGACTATGTTCTGAAATTATTGGATTTTCGCCATTTTTGGGCTTATTCGGAAAAATATAGCGTCACTCTATTCATATAGAAATTCAGAATAATCAAAAAAATGACCGAAAATTTGAAAAAAATCGATTTTTTTCTCTAGACACCGATGAATGGACTACTGTTCGAAATCAACATTTCAGGCCATTTTTGGGCTCATTCGAAAGCTTGGAGTCCACTTTTTGCTTATTTGAAGCTGAATTCAGGAAAAAGTCAGTAAAATAACAAATTTCAGGGCCTTGCACTGGTTTCCGACATTTCACACCGTTTTCTTCAGCGCGAATCAGACGGTGATGATGTACCAGCTTGGACAGGTGATTATTTGATTCTAGGTCTTGAAATTCACGGTATTCAGCAAAAAAAAGCTTACGAAAAATCGCAATTTTAAAACTTAAGCTCAAAATTTACAAGGAATGTAAAATAGAAGTTCACGAAAAGTCGAATTTTGTTATTTTTGGCTCGAAATTCACAAAATTATGCAAGGAAAAGCTCACGAAAAACCGAAAATTACAATTTCTAACTCAAAAATCACAAGATAATCCAAAAAAAAATCTCACGAACAAACGGAATTTTCAACTTTAAGCTCGAAATTTACAAAGAATGCAGAAAAATAAGTTCATAAAAAACCGAAATTTCTAATTCTAGGCCCTAAATTCACAAGAAAGTGAGGAAAAAGGTATAGGCAAATAGGAAAAAAATCCCAAAAAAATCGTTTTGCTAATGATAAAAATGTGTTCCAAAAAAACTTCAATAATAATATATTTATCGTAAAATTAGAGAAAAAAACCGTTTTTTTCAAAAAAACCATCTGAAATTAGGGAAAGGATTTTCGATAGCTTGTCGTTCAAAAAAAAAAAATGCTCACAAAAATATTACAATTTTCTGGCCTTAAATCGAAAAAAGTGAAAAAATAGCCATTTTGGCCTGAAAAGGGTGCATAAAAAGCCGTTTCTTTACCATTAAAAGAAATTCTAAACTTCTTTTTAGGATTTTTCAGTTTCTGAGAGACTAGAGCCAGTAGAAGATTGAGCTTTTCTTATCGAAAATCAATATAAATCTTGAAAATTCCAGCCCCGTATTACATGACAAGCGGACGGACGCGGAGCGGATCGCCGGATTTGGAATTGACGAGCAGCCGTCTTCTTCATCTGGCCGACCTGCTCAGGAAACGCAACGACTACTTATAACTTCACAAAACCAACAACAAAAAATGAAAATAAACATTAATAAAAATGAAACCCGTGTGATGAAATTTGACTTGAAAGTGACTCTATTAAAAAGTTTGTCTCGAAAAAAGATTATCCGTGGAGCGAACTTTCAAAGGAAAAAATCGCCAATTTGCTGTTTAAAGTACAAAAAGATTATCCGTGGAGCAAAGTTTACTGAAAGAAAACTGCCGATCCACTGAATTTTCGAAAAAAAAAAAATTATCCATATTCACAATTCAAAGTTAAACTGACAAGGGAAAAGTGGAACTAAAGAATAACTTTTTGTTCTTGGAACTGGAATAAGGCATGCTATAAAGTACGGGCGTTTATAAAATGTGACCGCTTCTTTTGTGCTCCACTGCAAATTAATAAAATACGGGCGTTTCTTGATCTTATCTATTTCACCCTTTCTGGTACTTTTTCTTGAATTTTGTATTTTTTCCTATCTTTCCTTTTGAAGAAAACTATTCAAAGAAGTACTACGACGAAATTTATGAGCTTATTATGATAAGTTTTTCTTCAATTACTCGAACAACTTAGGCTTCTCATTAGATTTTGAAAACGATTTCATACAGTTCATGAATCTGTAATAAACCGTAAACCACATAGAAAAAATTGGCTACGTGGCAAATGAATCTTGAAAAATGGTTCAATAAAAGGTGCTATCAAAAATACAAAAAAAAAAAACTACTATACGGATCAGAAAGCTTTCGAAAAATTAGAGTTTCGTTTAATTTCAAAAATAATGAAAATTCAAAAAACGTCCGTATTTTATTAATTTGCAGTGGAGCACAAAAAAAGCGGTCGCATTTTGTAAACGTCCGTACTTTATAGAATGCCCTTGAATAAGATTATCAGGTATCCGAACCAAGAAGAATAATAATTATTATTATCTAAGTTAAAACTAAAATTCTTGCCTGGAAACAGTAAGTTGTGATAAATCTAAAGTTGAAAAAAATTTAAGAGGGAAATTTTTAAAAAAATCAATTTTATCCGAGCGCGGTGAGAAAAAAAGTTGCCTATTCTGGTAACTTCATCAAATACGTCTCTAAAATTATGAAAAAAAGAAAAATTTTTGATAGCTTCTCTAAATTATAGAGGCATTTTTCCAATACCATGGAATAAGATGTACTGGGAAAATTTTTAGTGGTCGCTATAGAGGCTTGCCGAGGACTACTTGGAGAGGACACTAAAGGGGCCACTATTTTCTTGTTTTAGGAGCCATTATATCCAGTATTCCTTCCAGTGACTCTGATAATTTTAAAACAAACAGATTGGACCAGTTATGTTGATCCATTGACCCCTAAAGTGGCCACTAAAATTTTTAGTGGTCCATTAGTAGCACTTAGACCTCTATAGTGGCCACTTATTTTTAACCCCTCAAGTGACCGATAACTTGACTACTATAGTGGACACTAGACCGTCAAAACCCTATAGTGGCCACTTTTTCATAACTTTTCGAGGAGTTTTCCACTTATTGTCAAACTTTTCACAGTTGTTTCCTACGGGTCCAGTTAATCAACACCAAAAAATCATTTTTCCGCTCATTTTCCTAGTAAACTACAGCCAGAAACCTAAAATCAGCAAAAAATCCAAACCAACAAACATTTTCTAAATTTTTTTTGGTCAAAGCTAGAAGACAATGATCGAAGAAATATTTATAGTTGAATGACGCTTCAATTTTTTAATACCATTGCTTGCTCCACTATAAAACTATCATTCAGAATAAAAAATGCTCTCAGCTCCGATGCCCTTGAAGAGTAGATGGCGGTTGAATTGAACACGTGCCAAGAGCCGCGGACGCACACGCCACGCGTCCCGCCCCTTGCCCCGCCTCCCTCGTCTTTCAAGTCGGGAAACATTGACTATACCATGACTTGGGATTTCACCGAACGACATTCCGCTGTTCCGCTGCGCGCCTTTAATTTCTCGTTTTAATCATGATTTCGACCAACACGTGTTCCTAGTGGAACAGTCCATCTATCAAAGATTAGAACCATTTAAAAGCGAGACCGAGGCTCGCAAAGACGCTTCGCGACGCAGCGGAACTTCGGAATGTCGTTCGGTGAAATTTCGAGTCGTGGCATACAGACTATACGAACAGGGATCTCAATGCAAATTATAACTTTTTTCGTGAAAATATCAGATTTCGGATTAATACATTCTTATATCATTGTCTATTCATAGCAACTTTGAAACATAACAATGACGGGTGAAATTGGATAATCAAAACGAATTTTGTTGAGTCGAATAGGAGCTTTTTGGAGTTTTATGGAAACAAGGGGAAAAAATTGGATCTGTGAACAAAGGACGTTTTTTTTCGTCACTAGAGCAACTTTTTAGGAATTCCAGAGTGGTCCCTGTAGGGGTTGAAACTTTGAAAAATTTACTTTTTTTCTGTGATAGGGGGCGCCACAACTCTTTCTCTGACACACACTATTTCGTCGTTTTCAGTCTCGCAGCTAGATAACGACGAAATAGTGTGTGTCAGAGAAAGAGTTTTGGCGGCCTTTATGCGCCAAATGTCAGAGTAATAAGGAAAAATTTAAAAAAACATCAATTTTCACGAGCTTATTCGTAGAGCAAGCGTTTCATAAAACCTATCATTTTTTAACCTGATTGAAAAAGTTTTTTTTAACATGAAAATTAAGGTCAAAAGCTTTTTTCTATCCAAACTTTTTAATCTCTAGATCTGAAAACGGCTCAAAAAAGATCAAAAAGGTTTGAAATCGGTTGAAAACTCGGAAAGAAGGCCGAATGAGTCAATTTTAGGCCAAAAATGAGTTAAAATCGGAATTTCGAAAAAATCAGGTGAAGTTGCATAAAAAACCACTAATCGAGTTCTAGAAATGAAAGGAATAAAAAAATTCGGGATGAATCGCTAAAAACAAGCCGTCAGACTGTGAAAGCCACGCGCCGGCCGCCGCAGATTCACGATTTCGGAGCAATTTTACGAAATTATAGTAATCCTAGAATTCTACAAAACGGGCATCAGCTTGTAGAGCTTGTCAAAAGGTATCTTTCAAGAAGTTAAGAAAGAAGGATCTCCGGGTCCGAGCTCAGGGTGGCCAAAAAACCAAATCCGCAAACACAAAAAGTACCGTATCTCGAAATTTTTCTACAGTAACCCAAGTTGATATATACTAAAAAAAGTTTTTTTAAAATTGCAATACCTATCGATTGATATATCACTTGCCTAGTAAAAACTCTTCAATACTTGGATACGCAGGTGCCCACTGGGCTACCGTAACCCGGCTACAGTAACAGGAAATGGCTCAAAAAGTTGGGTCCGCGCATTTTTTTATGATTTTCTATCACATTGGATGAAGTTTCATTAAAATCAAAAAAAATTTTTATTGCACCTGTTTTTGAGAATTCCTGCGTGTTAAATAATGTTATTAAAATATTAAAAAAATAATCTATGTTCAAAATTCAAAGTTAAACTGACAAGGGAAGTAAAAAAATCCATTTTTTTATTTTTGACACTTAAATAAGATTATCAGGAATCCGACCCAGCAAGAGTACTGAATATTATTTCACAAGTTGAAACTAAAATTCTGGACTGGAAACAGTAAGTTGTGATAAACCTAAAGTTGCAAAGCACCAACTCGGGCATTGGTAACGCGAAACGGACGTGCTCCGGACGTTACAAGGGATCACTTAAGAGTTATGAGGCTACTAAAGTGATAACTAAAAATTCCCCGACACGTCCGATTCGCGTTACCAAACTCCAAAAATTTCAGAGACAAATTCAATTTCCCCGAGCTTATCCGTAGAGCAAGCTTTCCGAAAAACATTCGTTAAACCGACAAAAAATTGGAAGAGTTTCATTTTCCATGAAAAACAAGGCCAAAAGCTTCTTTCTGTCCCAACTTTCTTCGAAATCATCTAAAAACGGCTCAAAAAAAGCTCAAAAAGGTTCGAAATCGGCTCAAAAATAAAAAAAAATTAAGTTTTCACTAGAGTTCTCAAAAGTAAATGTTTGAACGAACGTTCAACCAAACATTTTCCGAACGTTTGATGAATTCGACCAATTAGTTAAATTTCACAGGAACTGTTTGTTAAAAAAACCTCATTTTGGTTAAATTTCATAACTAAGCATTTAAAAAAATGAACAATTACTTATTTTTTTCGAAAAAAATTTTTGTTCAAAAAAATGAACATTTAAATTTCATTTTGAAAACTTTGGTCAAAAAAATGAACATTTAAAGTTCACTTTTTGAAAAATTTTGGTCAAAAAAAGTAAACATTTAAAAATTCATTTTGAAAATTTTGGTCAAAAAAATGAAAAATTTAAAAGTTCACTTTTTGAAAAATTTTTGGTCAGAAAAAGTAAACATTTAAAATTCATTTTTGAAAAATTTTTGGTCAAAAAAATGAACATTTAAAATTCACTTTTGAAAAATTTTTGGTCAAAAAAAGTAAACATTTAAAATTCATTTTAAAAAAATTTTTGGTCAAAATAGTGACCATTCAAATTTCACTTTGAAAATTTTTTTAAAAAGGTAAACATTTATTCATTAATTTATTCATTACAATTACGGCACTTGGCAGTATCTGTGCCGGAGTCAATTCTGTCTCAGTCTACTCCAAATGAAATCATGAATCGATTACTTCGAAATTCAAACTAATTTCTGGTTAAAATTAATAAATCTGTTGGAAAACAGTGATTTGGATGGTCAAGGGCAAAGCTAAAAGCCGGTTAAGGACGGGAAAAATTATATGGAACCGGTCAAAAATGAGCAGACCGGAAGAAAGGTGCTATCTGGAGAATTAATTGAATGAGGAAAAAGGAAAAGTATTGATTTGGATTTTGGTTCGGAAAATCCAGGTTCGGAAAACTATCGGCCAAAAAATGAACTTTTAATTTTCACAGTTGAAAAAAATTTTTTTGTACGAAAAAGTAAACATTTAAAATTCTTGTTGAAAATTTTGGTCAAAAAAATGAACATTTAAATTTCACTCTTGAAAATTTTGGTCAAAAAAGTAAACATTCAAAATTCATTTTGAAAATTTTGTTCAAAAAAATGAACATTTAAATTTCACTTCTGAAAATTTTTGGTCAAAAAGAGTAAACATTTAAAAATTCGTTTCGAAAATTTTTGGTCAAAAAAAGTGACCATTCACTTTTTCACTTTGAAAAAAATTTGGTCATTAAGACGAACATTTATTAACTAGTCAGAATATGATTGTTTAGAAAAATGACCATTTATTTTTTTCAGTCATTATTTGAAAAAGTCACAAAAATGAAAAGAATGAAAGTGATCAATTTTTGGTTGATCTTTCAAAAAAACGACATTCGTTTGAAATGTCAAAAAGAAAAATTTTTTTCGTTTTTTTGAAAAAAATGTCATATTTTTTTCAATTGGTCATTTTGAGAACTCTAGTTTTCACTGCAATATACTCCTGTTCAAAACAGCTTTTTGGAAGTATGAAAAAAAAAGTTCAATCCAATTGAAATTCTATTCTCTTCCCATTCAGCTCAAGGAGCACTAAAAAAAAGGTCGAACTTCGAAAAATTCGCTTCAAGTCCTCCTTTTAGGGGGATTAAACTTGAGGTTAGCTCTGAATTCTCACAGGATTCTTTGAAAAGGTGACCCAAAATTCAAGCCTTCAACTAGAAAAATAGAACTTCTTTGAGGCCTAACAAAGGTCGATACTGATAAACTTTGAAGAGGTCCCTATAGGGTGCCCTAAAAAGCTGTCGTAGGGATCACTATAGTGGTTGAAATAGGGCCCCATGAGTGGCATCTATAGGGTGCCCTAGAAAGCTGTCGTAGGGGTTGTAATAGGGCCCTATGAGTGGCCCTTATAGGAAACAGAAAAAGCTGTCGTAGGGGTCACTATAGGGGTTGAAATAGGGCCGCATGAGTGGCATCTATAGGGTGCCCTAGAAAGTTGTCGTAGGGGTAACTATAGGGGTTGTAATAGGGCCCTATGAGTGGCCCTTATAGGAAACAGAAAAAGCTGTCGTAGGGGTCACTATAGGGGTCAACCTTTCTCTGTACTATTATCCTGTTCAAAACATTCTTCCTTAACTCATTTATTACTGAAAAAAAATTCAATCTAATTAAAATTCCATACTCTTCCCATTAAACTCAAGGAGCACTTGAAGAAAGTTCTCATTTTAAAAAATTCGATTCAAGTTCTCCTTTTAGGGAAATTAATCATAAGACTACTACTGAATTCTCACAGGTTCCTTTGAAAAGTTGACCAAAATTTCGAGACTAAAACTTGAAAATTAAGACTTTTTCGAGACCTAAAAAACCGATTGAAGAGGTCCCTATAGGGGTTGTAATAGGGCCCTATGAGTGGCCCTTATAGGAAACATAAAAAGCTGTCGTAGGGGTCACTATAGGGGTTGGAATAGGGCCCTATGAGTGGCCCTTATAGGAAACATAAAAAGCTGTCGTAGGGGTCACTATAGGGGTTGGAATAGGGCCCCATGAGTGGCCCTTATAGGAAACATAAAAAGCTGTCGTAGGGGTCACTATAGGGGTTGAAATAGGGCCCCATGAGTGGCCCTTATAGGAAACATAAAAAGCTGTCGTAGGGGTCACTATAGGGGTTGAAATAGGGCCCCATGAGTGGCCCTTATAGGAAACATAAAAAGCTGTCGTAGGGGTCACTATAGGGGTTGAAATAGGGCCCCATGAGTGGCACCCTAAAGGGGTCAACCTTTCTCTGTACAGTAATCCTGTTCAAAACAGCCTTCCTTAACTCATCCCATTTAAGACTGAAAAAAAGGTCAATCCAATAAAAATTCCATACTCTTCCCATTAAACTCAAGGAGCACTTGAAGAAAGTTCTAATTAAAAAAAAATCGTTTCAAGTTCCTCTTTGAGGAAAATTAACTATAAGGCTACTACTGAATTTTCACAGGTCCCTTTGAGAACTGAGCAAAATTTTAAGCCTTCAACGGAAAAAATCGAACTTTTTTGAGATCTAATTTATCAATACTGAAAAACTTTGAAGAGGTCCCTCTAGGGGTTGTAATAGGGGCCCTGAAACACTGTCGTAAGGGTCCTTATAGGGCTCCAACTCCAAGAGATCCCTATAGGGCTATAACCATTGCGGGTTGGAAAAAACCCTTGATCTAACACCTATAGTGGCCCCTTAAATTTTGACCCTTGTAGGGACCCTTCAGAATATCCTCTGTACTTTAGAATTTTCCTTTTTTTCAATCCAACAATATTTTTTCCATAGAGTCCAGCTTACTGTATAAGAAAAAAAAAATTCATTTCCGACCAAAAAATTTCGAAAAATACCTAGGTTCCTTGTCGGTCGACGGGTAGAAAATCGACGAAAATTCATCGAAAGTCATATTTTTTAGGTTTTTCTCCTCGGTGTTTTCTTTTTCGGTCCGTGGACCTGAAAATTCTTCCGATGATTACAGTTTAAAGGTTACTGGAATACCCTCAAAAGCTGGATAATCAAGTCAAAAAATCTAGAAAAAAATTTTTTTCAGAAGGATTAGTACCCGAAGAAAAAAATTGACAGTAAACTCTTCTTTTTAAATTATTTATTGATTTTTTTAAAATTCTACTTTCTATTACATAAATGATGGGCCATAATGGTTAAAATTAAGAACTTATAAATATTTTTTTAAAAGCAAAAAAATGAGTCCGTTTTATCAAAATAAACTTGAAAAAAAGCCTGAAAAACTCGAAAATTTTTTTCTTCCATTTTTTTAGTCTCTTCTTTCAAACTGAAACAATTCAAAAAAACCAGAAAAAAATTGAAAAAAATATTGGAAATTCCCTTCCTAATTAAAAAAATTCAAGGTCAAAATTCTGCTCAATTTTCATGAAAAAAAGTTCAAAACCTCCTAAAATAAAATAAAAGTTTCTTCACCTAAATATCTAACTAATTATCATTTCGGAATTGGAAAAATAATCAAAACCAACATTTCTCGAAAGTTCCCATTTTGCTCCTTGTTCTCCCCTTTGCGTGCAGATGCCTTGACAAGTGCATGAATTTCTGCAAGATAAACCATTTTTCAATAGAAATATCATGATTCTGTACAAAATTCTAATAAAAATCGATTTCGGCTCGAAACCTTTTTTAAACATTTGCCTCTGCGCCTTTAAAGAACCCATTTTTAAGCGGAAATCTCTACCTGTTTCTCCGTGTGAATCCGCCCTTCAGAAACCAATTTCAAACGGTAAGCTCTCCGCTTTAAAATCCTCTCAAATTGCTTCGGATTCACCAATCGATTGAAATTTTTCAGCATCTAAAATCCATAATTTTCCCTCAACAATTGATATTTCAATACTCGACTCGACATTTCGGCCTTTTGAAAGTTTATGGAACCCAGAGAGTAACCTAAAAAAAGTCATATCATTTTTTGAAAATTTCGAAAATTACCGAGAGGGATGATTTGAAGAGGAATCAGACACAAATTCTTCTTGCCTTCAATGAATTTTTGGCGGGACTTCCTTCTAAAAATACAAATAACATTCATTTTAAAAAGTCATAAAAGCCAAAGAAATACAAAAAAAACGCTCAAAAATTCTTAAAGTTCATACTTTCCTAGACATTTCAAAAAATGAAAATTTCAACAAAATAGCTTCGAAAGGTTTTGGTATAAAACCAAAAATTTCAGACGAAATATGGACTCAAAAAAAGTACTTTTTTGAAGATTCCAACACAAAAAACAACAATTTATAAAAAAAATAGTTGACTAAAAAAAATTAGAAAATCAGACAATTATGATGAGAATTCATAATTTATCCCAAAATCATACCAAAATTTCCGCTGGCGTCATTGTGGACGGCGCTTCAACCAACAAGGAATAGTCCATTTTACAAAGAAAATATAAAAAATGTCAAAAAATAAAGTTTTGGAGGCATTAGGCGTCGAATTAAATACCATTGCACTATTACGGTGTTTGCAGTCCAGCCCGCCCACAGTAAGAATCAATTCGATTTTTTTGCTCTTTTTTAGCTTGATTTTCTTTTTTTAACCGAACTTATCAATGACACATAGATACAGAGAAAATTTTACGAAACGATTTATTCCGAAATATGAAAAAACAACAAAGGAAAACAACAAAAACATTTCAGACATAAAAATTCAAATTTTACAGCTTTTGAAGCTCTTCAATCATGAAATAACGCCCTAAAAAGCGCATTCAATAAGAAAATTCCATATTCTATACTTGAAGTTGATAAAATAGTACTAAATGATATTATTAACCACCGCTAGTCCGCCTGAAACTTCCCGAGTGTGTAAAATCGAAATCATTGGAAATAAAACTTGATTTTGGGGTTCGAAAACGCTTGATATTAACTCCCAAAGTTCCGATGATGAAAGTTCGATAGCTTTTCGTCATAACTAATAGAATAATCGTCGCCAAAGGACCATGAAGGCCGAAACAAAAGGTTCCCAACGTGCCGAGGGCGGAAAAATATTTCGATTTCGGGAAAATTCTTCGAAATTCTCACGTTGTGTTGAGAATCCGAAAGAGGACAGGATTACCGTGGCGAAAAATGGCGTCGCTAGAAACATAAAAGGGACGGCAAACTTAAAAAAAAGCATTTGGCGAGTAATAAGTGATCTTTGAGACAATAATGCCATTTTTAGAGCTTTTCATTTTTTTTTTTAAATTCCTATTCTTGGAGAAAAACCACTGCAAAGTCTGAAAAAAATTCGGTCCCCACCAAAATTGCGGCAAAGTTGCTCTACCTTAGCTTTTAGGAGTTTTCAGAGTGATCCCTATAGGGGTAAGGGGAAAAGCAGCCACTATAGGGGTTTCGGGTTTGACCCCTGAGCCCTTAAAGCTTGAGTGATCCCTATAGGGATCTTTTTAATTTTTATCAAAAAAACGCTTATTTATTTATTTTTTGTATGGAAATGCTTCTTCGCATAGAGTTTATAAAAATTATCGATAGTGAATCTCCCTAAAACCCCCTATAGGGATCATTTTTGCAATCTTTAGTGGCCTCTATAGGGATTCGTAAAGTGGTCTCTAGAAGGGACCCTCCAAGGGCCACTATAGGGACCCCTCTGGAGATCCTGAGTTCCCAAATTCATTATTTTCCCTGAATTCATATAAAACTCAAAAAAGCTTTTACTAGACTCAAAATTTTCATTGATCATCCAATTTCACCCGTCATTGTTATGTTTCAAAGTTGCTATGAATAGAAAATGATATAAGAATGTATTAATCCGAAGTCGCAAATTTTTGGGAAACGAGTTATAATTCGCAT